CTGGCCTTTATGTAATGATTAATCTCCAGTCATACACTTAACAGTTTGTCATCTCTTGGTGAACGGAAAGCATTATCTCCACTTGACAGGTGATGATCCTGAAGCTACTGGAAGCCTTGAGACTACAGTAAGCCCATAGGCAAACATGGATGTGGGAGGAACAAATGAACAGCTCTAAGTGGTCTAGGAAAATCATATTCATTCATTCATTCCACAAAGCATTAATCAGCACCTCCGACGGGCCCAGCACAGTACTGAGTCCAGGGAATAAGAACGGAAATAGGACAGGCTCCACTCTTACTGTGAGGTTTAGAGGGCGGGGACCTAGAAAAAGGTAACAGTGGTTGTGAGAAGGGTCAGAACCGACATGAAAAGGAGGGAACAGTTAGATGCAGAGTTCGACAGTCTAGACATAGACACAGAGTCTTACAAGGGCAATTTTAAAAATACTAAATTTCTTCTTTCTGCTTTTATAGTAAGACGACAACAGTGAGAAGGAAGATGACCAAAGAAAAAAACTATTGTGCAAAGGTAGTAACACTGGAACTGGCCCTTGAGATTCCTGGTTATGGTATGTCAGTTGCGGCAATGAGAGGAATAATAAATCTATTAACTATGTGTTAATAAGGAGAAAACAATTTAAGGGGTTTGTGACTTTGCAGTGTGCCAAAGATGAACCCAGCATCTCGCTTGTAACACACACACACAAAACCCCCAAACGTGACTACATGTACGTTGCATGAAAGCTCTATAAAAGGCCCCCACCCTTGTTTTCGCATCTGTGAAATGCAAAACATAAATTAGTTGACTAATTAAATTAGAACCACCCAATTTCTAACTAGTCATTGTAAAGAGTTCCAGATAAGCACTGAAAATAAAAGTTATTTTTTTAGACCTTTAAAGTTTCCAAGGCTAGTTGAATTGCTAAAGGAGAGCAACTTAATAAACACTCTGGGTTGACATTGTATCACTTGCGAGATTTCAAACCTCATTCCTATACAACCTCCTGACAGACAGACATGATTCCTCACAGTTGATGATGGCAGAACTGAGAAGCTGCGAGACTGGACTCAGGGCCCAGAGCAGTGAGTAGGAGGCTGGCTGCCAGGACCGTTGGAGAAAATACTCTTCATAAAGAGAAATAAGTTGTCAGTTGGACACTAGGCTCACGTTGGTTGACTCACGGGCTCCCGCAAACAATTATTAAGCAGGAGAAATACACACAGCCACCCTGGTGGTGCCTATAGTTTATCATCAAGGGGAAGCCATGAGAAGAGAATGGACATTAACGTGACACATGTCTGTCCGCATTGTGTAGAGACAAGACCAGAGGGAGAAGTAACCAATTTTACCAAATAATAGGAGTAGAAAGTCTCATGGAGAAGCCGCTTCAGCGGTCTTCAGCGTGAGTAACTCACAAAGCATACGAACCCCAGAGACCTAGAGAGACTGTATAGGTTTTACCTTTTCAATTTTTTTTTTTTTGATTAGGTAACTACAATATAGGTCATCTGTAAGAGGATTCTGACCTAGGTAGCAGCATCCTCAGATTAGCAAGGTCACTGATGATATTATTATATTAAAATATCTGATAATAATAAACATGGTTTACCCTGGATTATATTCCAGACACTGAGCTGAGGGCTTCATTTATCCATTTTTGATTTTTTAATTGAATTCCAAATATTTTATAAAATAGCTGTTATTGTCACCTCTTTATAAATGAGAATATTAAGACGAGACTTTGTGTCTTTACAATATAACTTTGCCAACTAATTATAATTCATGTGCCTTTAAAACACACACACACACACACACACACACACACACACATACGTATCAGAAATGAAATGCAACAGGGCAGTTCACAAAAACTCAAGTTGTACAAAAATGAATGAGAGCAGACTCTGTTGCTTTACCCATCATAATGAAAAAAATACATGGGTAGTTTCCACCAGAAGAAATCAGGTATCAAGGACATTGCCCCCTTAAAGTTCGTAAGGCTAGTAGAACCGAAGGATAACCATTTACAAAGGTAGGCATTGCATTGGTCTCAAAGTGGCCCCCGGCTGAGCCAGGCATCTGCATGGTGGCATGTCCTGGGGTCTGAGGGCACTCTGCACTACAATGTATGATCGCATACAGTTTACTCCCAAACCTGCCTGTCTGTGATTATTACCTTCTGGTCTCTGTGAACAGTTAGTTGTAAGAGGTCATTCGCATAAAATGTCATTTGGTGATCAGAAACTATTACCTTATTTAACAGAGAAGCAGAAGACTGAGGTCGGGTGGAGTGAGGCCAGCAGCAAGCAAGCAGGACTTCGGACTCCTAGATAACATTTGCCCCGAGAGGACCAGGAACTTGTGACCTACCCTGCCACCTATCACTCCTGCTGGTCATCCTACATTAGAACTTCTCTCACGTTGGCACGTACCAGGTGCTCTGGAAATAGGGAGCCCGGAGGTCTTCAAGGTGGGTTGCAGGTGACTTTGCAGTCTAATCTTTTTTTCTTCTTCACAATCTAATTTTGAACATTCATTCACTCGCTCATTCATTTCTTTATTCACTCCACACCTAAATATTAAGTGCTTATACCAGGCAGTTCTATGAATAGTGTCCTAGCTTGAGCTCTGTCTGCAACAAACCACTGGAAGGAAACACATTGATAATGTCCACAGGGTTTTGTCTCTGGAGGCTGACACTGCAGGTGATTTTATTTTCCCCTTTTGGCATGTCTGTTTTCAGTCTTTCTCTCATCAACATGGATGAGGTCTGTAAGTCAATTGCTATGACGAGCCGCATGCATGAGGTTCTTTGGCAAATGGAGAAGTGAAGTCTTTTTCTGAGGTTGTTGGGAGTTTTGTTGAGATGCCTGAGCTACAGCTGTAAGGCTAAGAGCCCCTGGGGTCCACAGAAATGACACTCAGAAGCACGACGGAGGAGAGGTATGGGAGCTGACTGGCTCTGCCCAGCCCTGCAGACAGCGGTGGTTTCAGGCTGTTCTGTGCACAGGAGGAGCCCCAGGGGTTTCTGACAACCGCGGGGTGGGTTCCACTCCTTTTGCATTTCAGTCGCTTTAGGATAGGCCTTGTGTTTGCAACAGGTTCCCAAGTGGTCCAGGACCACAATCAGACAATCCTGGCTTTAAAGGACGCCAACTCCCTGCATTCCTTTAGCTTTCCGTTTCCCAGGGCGTTGCGTGAGCCCATGGTTGGCAGGTGCTGGGCAGAGGCACGTGCACGAGCTCACGTGCCGGTCCACACCTGCAGCAACCGCCGTGCTCCCAGCTGCACTTTCTTAGGCAAAATGTAATCTGCATCGAGATGACTTGGCTCCAGCGGCTTGTTCTGGTGACTGATTCTGGCCCCCACGGAGCCAGGCCCTCCTCCCCGCTTCCCACCCCTGCATAGGGCTCTCAGCATCTCCCACAGGCCGGTCATTTTCCAAGCCGCTGATATTTGTTCCTCTGCAAAGTCTCCTCTCTCCCTCTTAACATATATAATAAATAAAATAGTAATAAAGCTCTGCACTCCTTCCCCTCCCAACAATGCAGGTGAATCCAAAAAACCTGCGTGTGAGTGGACCGGCAGATCAAAAACGTGTTGATCAAGAATCAACTAACTGTACCTGCAAGGCCCAAATGAGGCAGCTGTAGAGACAGACAGTAGGCCGGTGTCTCCCTAGCGCTCCGGGAAGGAGGAAGGGCCTAGGCTGTGTGGACTAAAACGTCCGGGGCTTCTTTGTGGAGAGAATGAAAAATGTTCCAAAGCTGATTGTGGCGATGGTTGCACACCTTTGAGAATATACTAAAACCCACTGAATTGTACACTTTACATGGATAGCTTGTATGAAGTGAATTATATCTCAATAATACAGCTGTTACCAAGAGAGATAAAAAGGAAGTGTACAATCAGCCCCAGCGTGCTCATCACCAATAGTCAACATATTCTCAGCCCTGTTTCATAGGTAAGAGGCCCTATTATTTCCAAGCCTGATTTTTCCTTAGATGGCCAACCTTTGCATAGGTGCTTAAAAAGATACTGTTTATTGGGTTCATTAGGTATGTAAAGGTTTTAGGAAAATCAGAACTATTGAATTTGTTACTACAGTTTGAAATGTCTACAGCAGTAGTTCCCAAACCTTGTTGTGTGGGGGTGGGAGGCTTTTAAAATCCTGATGCCCAGGTGGCACCCATGCCGATTAAGCAAGTCAGAGTGTCTGAGGGCCACAAGCAGGCCAGCAAGGAGCTTACTTACGTGTCTCCAGGTGATCCCAAAGCGCTGTGAAGTCTGTGAAATGTAATTCAATTATCTAAATTGTGAAAGATGTTTCAGTGGGTTCTAATTTGTCAATCTTATGTGAGGCAGGACAGGCGCCTCAAGGTCTGGGCGGTTCTCACTAAATGCCATTCTTGCTAAATGTTAAAAACGGAACACAGCATTTTGCAGACTCAGCTGTAACCTGATGACCTTGACCGGAACCCAACTGGGTAAGTTTAGCCGACTGCCAGGAAGAACCAACGTGTAGTTAACCAAACAGTGTGTATACGCAACAGCTCAGCCTCCCGCTTCCCGGAGACAGAGCTGTGGATGTGAATCCCGCGTCCTTTACTTGTCACAAGTAAATAAATCTACCTAACGACAGCCACTTCCCGTTCTTGAATTGAACATCCCAAGCGGCGGAGCCCTATGAGTTCCGCAACACTATTATGATTCAACCAATTCTAACCAAATAATGAAATCGAGTTCTTCTAAACTGAAATAACAAGATTGGCAGCTTGAACTTAGAAGTTTTGAAATGTAAACTTTAACTTTAAAATTATTCAGTATTTAAATATTTAGAGCGATCAGAAACTCGTTAAACACTCTTTCCCGTCAGCAGCATCCCCCGGGGGTTTAGAGCCAGGCGGCGGGGCGCGGGGCGCGGGGCGCGGGATGGGGGGGGC